AGTGTGAACTTTTCATATGTGCATTTTCATTTCTAAAATATTTATTTTCTTTTTCATTCAAAGTGTTGTGCATTAGGGTTGAACTTCCTTCTTATGAAACACCTTAACAATTATAATCCTAAATTACAAAAGGATCTTTTATATTGTTCTATTAGCTCAAAGTCTTGGAGAACCTAATCTTGTTACTGTGTCTGTTGAATCTCCTTCATGGTATGGTTCTATGGTGGTTCAGCATTTTATGAACAGAGATATCACTTCAAAGTATTTCCCCTTTCCTCCTGGTAATCACCATTGCTGAATGGTAGAAGTGTCCTTTGCATGTTTTTTTTTTGTTTGTTCGTTTGTTTTTGTTTTTTTTCTACTTAGTAGCTCAGGATGACTCCTCCTAGACAACTTTTATTATTTATTTCCTCAGTTTGAGTTTTGACATTATACAATACTATAATTTAAACATACTCCTATGCAAAGTTTTGCATTTAATTTTTCATAGGAAAATTTTTTTCTACATGGAGCCATGAGTAGAAACAGTCTGCTGTTTTATGCATCAGTGGGCATTTTTTCTTGTCCTTTGTTAATTTCAGAATCTTGGCTTTTTGCATGGGTCTCAGATGCATGGTTCTTATATTGTTTTGGACCTAAAAGTCGCAGCCCTTATAATTAGACCCCTTATCAGGTCAGGTAATCCCTGGGCTAATCACTTGTTTGGTAGTTCTTTCTTTGTGGCATCTGAGAATCTTTTTCTTTCTTTAGAACTTGCATCTTCTCTCTTGTCTCCTCTTCTGTCTTCCCTTCCCCTTCCCCCTTCCCTCCTGCCTCCTCTTTCCTCTCCTTTCCTCTCTTCTCCTTTTCTTTTCCCTTCCTTTCCTTTCCCTTCACTTCCTTTCCCTCCCCTATATTTTCTCTCTTTCTCTCTCTCTTGTTTTGTTCAGATTTTCTCTTGGTTGAAGGAGAGTCTCAGGTCTCAGGACAATATGTTTGTTACTGGATATCTATTACATCTCATTTTGATGAAACTATTTCAGTATAACCCAGACATTTAATCTTGTCTCCAGACTCTTCCTTCACTAATGCATGGCATAAACTGATTCAAATTTTCCTTTGCCTTGACAATATTATTAACATGCCAAACATCCTAAATCTACCTTTGCTATTTTTTCTGATCTAATTTGTGAAGCCAAGCAAACTGTGAGGAATCTGCATGTCATTCAGTATACCTACAAAAAGCATTTTTAAATAGTGTGAATATTGCATTCCTGCTTAACTATGACTATAGTCATTAAGAAGGCAATGCTGTGCTAAATAGCCATAATAGGAAAGAGGATTATTCATAGCCATAACAGTTGAGATTCTACATCAACGTAATGATTAGCAGTTACTACCTCTTTGAACACTATACTTAAATTTTATTGACTTTTAGGCAACTACTTGGAAGTATCTCATGAATACTTTCATATAACTATTTGGTAGTATTTCACTGGTGATAGAACAGGCCCTGTTTCTAAATCCCTAGAAAGTGATAGTTCTTAAAGCTTTGTTCTCTATTCTAAAAGAAAGAGTGAAGTATGTTATCTAAAATACTTTGGTTTGTTGTTATATATTGAATTGTTTGATCTTTTGTAAATATATGTAACCCCTAGGGGTGGGGGGGAATGTTGGGGCAAAATACTTTTAAAACCAAAATCAGTCAAAGGGAGAAGTAAAGTAGGAGAAACCTGTTTATTTCATAGGAACAGTCCACTTCTGCTCTCCCGTGCCTCTCACGACCCAGCTGCAGAAGAGGCCCCAGCCAACCTTTCCAATCCATATAGGCCCTTGCCCTTGTAATTACCTATTGATATGAAGATGGACTACTTCTCTCCAGCCCTTGGAAATACCTGTTGATACGGGGATGCATTATGGCCAGGGGAGAGATTCTGGAAATACTGCAATTTTACCCACAGCATACAACCTCTGCGTTCCCTGATGTGTTTTCTTCCATCCATGTTTAAATTAGGCTGCATTTTCTGATAGCACATACATTCCTGTTAGGAGAAGGAATGGGGGGGTACTGGTTGTAGTCCTGACTGAGAAAAGCAGCCATATATTTGGAAAAATGCTTTCCGGTAATGTAGTCAATGAGACATTTACATCCATTAAGAGGTAATGGGTTTGATTGTCCTCCTTGACATAAGTTCTTTCTCTTAGGTTGCACTTCTCCAGAGCTGTAGATCTCTTCCAAGGATATTCCATCATTCTACACAGTACTTTGTATTCTTAAGGCTCATTCATGACGCATCTAGAAGGTTGTACAGTTTTATTCATAAAACTTTTAAACAGAGGACTAATACATGCAAAACCCTTCTGATTTGTGAATTCAATAGTTAACCAATCCTGAAAGTCTTAACTTTTAGTCTAATTTTACAGATGAAGAAACTTGCCTGAGATCACACAAGCTGGAAAGTGATGCAGTCAGGATTTGACCCAGACACTCTGCTTGCTGATCCCTTTCAGATGGTGCCATACTGCTTACTTGTCCCACATGGTCAGTCATTCCACTATGTGAGCAAATTGCAAATGTTCCATTGAACTGAATAAATTTGCCCCCCATTTAAATGCAGGTCTAATCTTTGTGAAATACTTCTGATAGCTTATTGGTCTAATTTCATCTATCTTATAAAATCATTTTATTACTACTTATCATTTCCAAATGCATTGAGAAAAATCTATTATCCAAAATAATCTCTTTATTCAGGAAATTAAGTTTGGTATTGCCCTTAATTCCTGACATCAGAGATAAACTGATTAGAATACTTAGAAATGAATCCATGAATTCAATTAAGAGAAAATAAATGGTTAATTGTGTTAATGCACATTCCTCTTTATAACTTGCAGATGTTCACAAAGTAATTGCAGAAATAAATTGTACCTCCTCAACTGATATAATGTATACATCATTAGTTGTTCCTCTTGCTACAACTCTTAAGGGCTTTTTATCTGACTATTGGGGCTGGGAACTATCAACCAGTATGAGAAACTCCTTCAGCTGAATAAACGACATACACTTTCACAAACTGCACATTCCAGTACTGAGTTTCATCATAAACTCTATGATGACAAAGAATAGTCACTATACAAATCTATGTATTTAAAATGATGAACTCTAATGTTTGGAGACATGCTTGTCATTATCACATAACTTGAGTTACATAAAATATGATTCAGGACCCCTAAGAAAACATTTCAAAATATAGTATATGTTAAGTTCTTTCATTTCCCAAAGGTGATCAGAAGAATAAGGGCTAGAAAAATGGTATGCTTGGAATATCTTTGAGTTTCACATCCCTTCAGTCATTTTTGCATTTAAACTGATCATTTACTAGCAACAGATGGGTAATAGGATGAAAGTTTTCAATATGTTGTGGTGGGCATATATATTTCCAGACAGAAAGTGGAAGAGGACAAAGCAGTGTTCTTAATGTGATTAACAAAGAGGCATGGAATCTGCTATCAATCTTCTTTCTTACTGTCATAGCACTTCTCAGGACTGTTAGAGAAACTTTACAATAGCTGAATGCATGTTACACATACAGATGGGGAAGTGCCTCGGGCAGTTTGGCAAAATTTACTAGGTGTCCATTTTTTTGAATTCCTGCTTTCTGAGTCAACATTTCATATGAGTCTGTCATTTCATCTCAGGAGTCTGCTTACCTTAATGTTGATGTGGCAAAGAAAGACTTGGCTGATTCATTATTCCATAACCATATTGGCTTCATTTGAAAAATTTAATCACTAACAGTATCCTTCACTGAGATTAATACTAGATTATAAGATAAAATTTTATTTTAATCTATATGGGGGCATATATTTTTCCCCTTGAGTCTAGGGAAATTATTTTCTTTAATTTTTCTAATTGTAGAAAGAAAATAAAGTATATTTCTATCCTGAGAGGTTTCTGTGAACAATTCTCTAACACATTTTGGTAAAAAGGTGTAAACAATTCATGTGAGCTACTATTTGCAGAATTATGTTAATTGTGAAAGACAAAAGATATAGGAACACCATTCAAAGTAGTGTCTATGCTGATTGGCAGTGGGTAACCATTAATCTCTGGTTCCAAGCAGAACCATAATATTAAAGGGATGACTTTAAGATGGCTAAGATTTCCTGAAGATAGTCTTAGAATAATGTTAAATGGATTTAACCTATGGAGGATTTTCCTTGGCCTTGCATTGTTACTAGACTAGGGTCCTATTTGTACCATCATGATTTTTAGTTCCAATTTAGAACAGAAAGATGAAATTAAGTGCCTGGATAAAGAGACTGGTGTTTGGTCCCAGAGATCGAAAATGACAAATAGTCAGTGACAAGCAAGATACATTTTTAGGTGAAACAGGAAAGCTGTGGGACACCATTTCATTTAGCATTAATCATAAATACAGAGTAGGAGGACAGAATAATTTCCAGAGTATGTGTGAGAGCTGAGGCTAAAGTTAAGGAGACTTGAAAACAGGTGAAAGAAAAATATTGGTATTGGGGAATCCCACTTTACTTAGTAGGGATAGAGACCTACAAGAGATTTGGTAGTTTGGATTTCTAGCATATCCAGTGTAACTCTTTTTGTTAGCTTTCTCCAGCAGTGTTCAGAAATCAGAAAGGGGGTTGAGGAATTACCCGGCAGTTAGGACAGAAAGGCAAGACCATGGAAATTCTGGTGTCAAGCAGAAGCATGGAAGGAGGGCAAGCTTCTGGGTTATTGATATACTGAGGACAAAATTCAATTTATAGGAAAATGAGAGACCTCGAATTAGTAAGTACAGATCACAAAAGGAAATTTCAGAAATCATGATTTTGAAGAGGGAGAGATTGAAATAACAATATCAACAAATGCATGGCCTGTTTGTACCATAAATAGAGTATCATTATCAAAATACTTAGACAATGAGAAATTAAGGAATTATAAGGACAGATTATGAAGCCATTGTATTTAAATAAGGTTATATCTTTATTTTTAAATGTTATGCATATTTACAAAATTCCAGACCCATCAAGCACATACTTGAATATTAATTCACTCAAGGATATATTAAGGGCACAGAACTATTCTCAGACATTTTCTTTCCATCCAAGGCAGAAAAGCAGCCTGATTCATTCCCTCCTGCAGGAGAGAAATTAGGAGACATGGAACTTACTTTTCATTTTATTTTCAGTTAGGTAAGGGCAGATTCAGACATTTTGTGTGCATTTTTTAGGAAGAATAAAGTTATCCCTATCTTAAATGCATCTTTTTAATATTGTGTCCTTTTCCAAACATTTGGCTCTTACATTTGCTTTTCATGTGCATTAATAACCATTTGAAAGTAATCCACTTTCTCTTCATCTTTTTTTCTTTTTCTTTTTGCTCTGACACTTTAATCCTGCTGACATCTTTCAACACATAATGAAAAACAGCTCTGCCTTTTCCTGGTTTCCTCATTTCTGAATTCTATGGCAACGGATGCTAGTTGACTTAGTAAAACTTAAAAATGTCACATTGCTCTTCATTCTTTGATGAATACACATTCATGAATACAGCTCAACGCAAAAGCAATTAAAGGCAGTCCTAAAAAGCACATAACCAGAGTAGCCCTCAGATGATATACCCCAGGTGTTGTATTCAGAGCAAAACATGGCAAGCCGTGCCTAAAATGAAAAAGATGAGGCTTATTGTTTCTGAGGATTATTAGCCATCACTGCTGAACACATTTTGATATGAAACACAATGATTTCTGTAGATAAATATTAATTCCAAATCATGAAATTCACTCCAAAAATCAATGAAATCCATTAACATGAAGAAAGAAATAGGCAAATTATTTAACACACACATAAATTACAATTTAAACCTAATTTCAATGACACATATAAAGCACGGACACACACAACTATGGATTTAATCTAATTTTAACAAGAAATTACAATACAAAAGCATACTTAAATGGTTTGCTAATAATGGTAAATATTTGCTCATCAAACAGAGACTATCTTTATTGATAATCTTTCCCAAAAATGGCTATTTAGAATTATAACAACAGTAATGTTGGATATTTATTAGTTTTAAATTAAATAAAAAATAATTCATCACTATTATGAGTATATGCTTTGTTATTGCCTGTATACATTTTATGGTATGGTTATAATGTTATTAATGATATTTTATATTAAATAACATATAGGATTTCATATTTGCATGGGATGCTATTAACAAATTACATTCAACTACCATACTTCATTTCCATTCCAATTCTTTCAATATCTGTGCGGTGTATAGATGGTACATTTTATTATTTACATTTCACAGTTGAGGAAACCAGGGTTTGAAAGCTTAACACATGAAACCACAAAGCTATGAACTGAGGAAAATAAAATGTTACCTAGCCTTTTGACTTTATATACAGGTCTATTTTCTTGTCATCTTAGGTCCTCCATGTATATACTTTAATTAGATACATCTTCAAAATAGCCAATATGCCTTAGAAAAATTAAAGCTATTGAATAAGAATTGTATGAAGCAGCCAGTGATGAAAACAATCAGCGAATACCAACCACGATAGTGTTGAACATCTTCCTGTTCTGTGCAACACAGACACGTCTTTGAAGTTCATGAAAATGCCCCATCTGAAAGAAGCAGAAGTAAAGTCATCATAACTATAGCCAAGGCTTGCTCACAACTCTTAATTAATTAATCATATTTCATTGGAAGATATCATAAAATGTACAATAAAGTTTGGGGAGAAAGGTGCATTACATAATAAAATATACAATAAAGTTTGGGAAGAAAACTATATAAACAATTTGAATGCATCAAGGATTACATTCTATTTAAAGCCAGCATTTAGAGTACTTACATTAGGGAGCTCAGAGAAAATTTCCTTCTGCCAATTCCCACTGGTCCAACAACAGACAAAAATTTGAAGTGAGTTCACAGCAGAAGTTGGAAACATGGAAATCAGTGCAGTTTTAAAATGTAATCATTCTCTGCAGGAAAAGGTCATAAAAGAGGTTCATGTAAGTGAAGCTTAAAATAAACAGTTTGAGCTTCCAGAAGGGATGCATCTTGGCCACACAGTTACTCAGGGGATCTACCAGGAAGCTCATTAAAGAGAGTGCCAAGACTCACTCAAGACAGTCAAGGGGTTAAGAGTGAGAACACTGAGAGATGAGAGAGTTCGAAGCTCATTCTGCCAGTTCCTACCATGCAAACTTGGAAAAATGTCTTGACCTCTGGTCCCCATGTATAAGGCAGGAGTGATCGGAGTGACCACCAACATCATGGAGGTGTTTTAGAATAGACATGTGTTAACAGAATGAAAGCAAATAGATAATTTACTTGCACCCCATCAATAAAAATATTTTCAGACTGTGTAGGTCTCCGGGAATGGTCAAACTAGTGGAGCAGCTGTCAGCAGTTGATATTTCCTGATGTTTCCTCAGTAACTCTCCATCAGCCTGTAAAGGAACATAGAAAACTCTCTATTAGTACTGAATGTATTTCAAAGGTATACCAGTATCTGAAATTTAAAGAGAAAAATGAATTTAAGCATCTAGAACTAAATATGACTGGCTAAATTACCATAACCAAGGTTGAAAAACAAACAAAATTGGAAAAGAGAATTTGCAACAAATAAGACAAAGAAGTTTGAACATTCTTTGTATAAAAAACATGGTAACTTAGTGAAAATAAAAATAAATTCAAGAGATAAATAGGTACTTCATACAATCTGGTGTCTTTGTACTTCATACAAAATGGCAAAAATATGTAATAATAATTTCAACCTTATTATGAACCAAACAAACATTAAGATCACTGTAAGAAAGCATTACTGATCATTAGAAATGGGGAATTTTAAGACTAAGAACCAGTAAAAAGGAAAATGTAAAATGCTGTCATAGTTCAGTGGTAGGACTGAAGAACTAACACGTACTTACTAAATGTCAATATGGTAAGATCAATCAAAACCCCAAAAATGTGCAGACCATTTTATCAGGTATTCTACCCAAAAATGTGCAGACCATTTTATCAGGTATTCTATTGTTAACATTTACAGTTAGAAAAATACCAGCTTTATGATGTACTTTACTATGTTTATAGTTTGAAAAAAAAAATGGTAACAAAACAAAATACTTCTAGACAGGATTGATGAATTAAAGGTGTTCATCAACATATTCATGCAATGAAATATCTGTTACCTTTTAAAATAATGATGTACATCTGTATTTATTGGCATGGAAAGAAATGCATGATTTAGTGTTAAGTATACAAAGCAAGTTGCAAAACTGTGTTAATATCCCATTTTTCTTTAACACGCAGAAAGAGAGAAATAAGACATATATGGAAGAGAGGGAAAGAGCAGGAAAAAGAAAAAAAGACAAAGCAAACAAATATCAAAATTAAATTGATTAGACATGATTTATGTTTTCCTCATTATACTTTATATTGTTTTTAACATTTTTAGTGGGAACTTAGAGTTAGCTGAAAGTAACCATTTCCATTAAATAAGGACAAAAAATTATTTTGTCAACAGCTTTTCTGGATAAGTAATCTACATTGGAACATTGCAGCTCTGCTTGAGACTAAAGAATCTCAATATGGTTGGTGAAAAGTAACAAAATAGCATTCACTGTGTTTCATCTATGAGGCAGTGATTCTTTAAGCCACAGAACAAAATGGTTCATTTTTCTGAAATATCATTTTGCTTAAGGATTTTGTGGAAAAATGAATTTTTGTGCTGCTAACATGTTTTGTAATATAGAAGTATCTTGTCTCAAAAAATATGTATGCTTCTGAATTTTTCCATGTGTTCATTAGGATGGCTTAGAAAAAAATCAGTGGGTGGGTACTCTTATTTGAAAATACATATTGTTAGACACATTGATAATGAAAATGGAAGTAACTTAAAATGTCTGCTTTTCTGCACACACACAGGCTGGTTTAGGTAAATATATACTGGTAGGCTGAGCTTCTAAGTAGGTTTGAATGATCAACTTTTCTCATGAGAAGACAATTAGAAACAAAACCACAAATATGTTTTTAAAAAATTTTCTTAATGTAACTGAAATCACTTAAATGGAAGAGAAGCTCAAAAATTATTATCTTTAGTGGATTTTACTTACAGGCTTTAACTATTTCAAAAAGCTATTAACTACAGAAAATTAAGTTTGAGAGATATATACAAAAAGTTGATAATGGAGAGGATGAATTATTTCAGATGATTAGTTTATTTTTATATTTAGAAAATATACAATTATTAGTCATATTTATCCACAGAGAAAGTATTTTCACAAGTATTTCCCTGAAGTAAGAAAAATAGGTGAGTGACTAGTAGATCAAAAGTATCTCCATGAGCCAATCAATTTTCAGTACACTTTTTCCTCTGATTCCTTGACTTTAAAAGCCAATTTTATTAGTTTTTAGCATCATTGTGCTACTATAAATGTATTAGTATGCAAATGATATGCTATGGTTGATGTTGGGATATCATATTTTAAAATCCTGCCAGAATCATTCTTTGCCATTAAAGAGACTGTGTATGTCCTGTGTGATTCTCGCAGATTGTTTCTCACTTAAGGTGACATTCATGAGGTATTTGTTAGACGATTTAGTAAGTATGGACTAAAGTTCAAAGAACTCTTACGCATGCCCCATCTACTGCAAACTCATCTCATTCTTCAACCTTGCTACCTGTCACCTTCCGCTTTCAGTAGAAGTTAGAACTGGTTTGCTCCAGCTTTCTTAACTGGCTCAGTGTGAACTTTGAGTAAATTGGTTTCTTTTACTTTAAGAATATTATAAAACTAATTTACAGTCGGGAATAATATTAAATGTTTTGTAAATGTGAGGATTTCCATGAGGTCATTTCAATAGTGTTTCCTTTGTGTTCCCTGACATCCTGTTCCTTTCTCACAGCAAGTAAAGTCACTTAGTATGTGTTAAGCCCTAAACTGTTCTTGCAAGTTTTAGATATTATTCTCTCCTGCATCCTTTTTTTAACCTTTTCCCAGACATCACTGGTCTACCACTTGACTTAAAAATCAGAAGGTCTAGTAATCTGTGAGACTATAAACAAGTCTTTTAATGATGTCATATCTATATCACTAAAAGAAGATTAAGTATGGTTAGATTACAGATCAATTAAAATTGAATAATGTACTTGAAAATACTTTGTAGATCGTGATGATCACAATAAGTCAGTGATATCATGTGTTGCCTACTTTTGCAGTTTCTTTTTGTTCCATGATATGAGCATTATTTTTATAAACTTTTACACTTTGTGGTGTGACACCTGTACTCAACATTTTACTCATGTAGGAGATTGTAGAAAGGATATGACATTTCATTCCCAAGTACTGAATGAAACAATGCTGCTATAGTCCATTTCTGCTTTTTCACTTTAGCAAGTTGCTTATTGAGTAGAATGATTTTACATGAAAAATGACTGGACTTTTATCAGTTTTGCTTCCACCAAGAATATTTACAAAGCAGTCTTTTAAAAAGAGATGTAGGTTATTTATAACTTCCCGTATTCCTTTTGTCTTAATAGCAACACAATATATAATATTTTATAACCCAGGTAATTTCCATTATCAGTCTGCAACTCTGCATTTCTTTCTTTGTTGACTCATATATTTGCAAATTATTTATTCCTCCCAAGATATATTCATGCAGTTGAAAGAAAAGAATAATGTCAAGGCTGAGCATGAGTAGAAGTGACTCAGTAAAAGGCATATAAATCTCTCCTTCTTTTCCTCCCCATATCCAAAATAAAACAGTACTAAAGTTTCAGAATAACTTTTGAAAATACTGAGATGATTTTTCTGAATTAAGGGTCCACTTTCTTTCCTACCTTGCTAATGTTAATTCCACTTCATTCTCTATTCCAGGAAGTGTGTAGCTGTGTCATAAATAAATATGTTTCATCGTTTTCAGAGATTTCATCAGAAGATGGGATTCTTCTCATTTGGATTTGAATTTGTTTTTATAAACAGTATTTTACAGGGATTTATTTTGAGGAGAACATATCAGGATGTCTCTATTTTCAATAATAATGTTTTTACAAACTTCCTGAGCCTTTATCTTGTTTGTTTCTTCCTAGAACAACTGGTTTCATTTGATTATTTAAACTTACTATCCATTGATATTGAAAGTCACCATCCTTAAACTTATTTCCTTGAGAACTTTCCACTTTCACATATTGTGTTTATAAGGCTATAACTGACCCTCTAAAACTATCTACAACTACTATTCTGTTCAGTTACAGAACATTCAATGAATTCCTACTTCAGGGATTGTTCCTGTACATAAGGTATCTTTGGCAGTAAAAATCTCTCTGCACACTGAAATTGAATTGACTCTGGAGCACAAATGAATTAGTCTACTTTCTGTTTATTTCTTCATAAAAGAGAGCTATACATTTGATATCAAAAACACTAAACCATACTTGACTATTTTTAACATTGAGATGACCTTCCTGCATGAAGCTAACATAATTTCCCAGTCAGGGATACTGCTAAGTGTTAGTACATGCCTAAATCAAGGTCACTTTCTCATTTGTAACAAACCACTAATATGTAGGTGAGAGGAGCAAAATAAAAACACATAAATTTAGGATACTGGCTAACTTCATAAATATTAAGAGATACAATGTACCTCATAAATTTTCTGGCAGCAGGAATCACAAAAATAAAGGTCTGAGAGAGAGTGGATTTCACATGGAATATAAAAGTAGTAAGTGTTGAAGACAGCACAAAGAAGTGAAAGACCTTCAGATTCAGTCTAATTTGTAGGCATTAGGCATCTACTGTGCACAAGACATTCAGTAAGAAAATAATGTGAATGTAAAAAATAAAGAAGATACTGCACTCTGTTCCTAAGAAACATCTGGAGAAATACAGAGTCACCTCGGGACATCAGACTGCTCACTGAGTCACAATGAGATCTGATGTAGAGGGCCAGAACAAGTGCAATGAAAGCAGGAAGAAGGAATGAAAGTATTAATGACCTAAAGAATCAGAAAAGGCTAAAGATGGGTGCAAAGACTAAAGTGAAAAACCTACCA